AAGATTACATTTTTTCAAGCAATTTTTGTGCTTACAGGTTTGTAGAGAGACCCTCTCTCCCTGTTCCTTTCTACTAACCTATACTGTGGCCCAGTTCAGAATTAGATATGATAGCCCTGGTGCCCCCCTCCCCAACTGAATATGATAAATGGCAGTTATGTTGATGATTTATCTATTTAAAAGATGTTTTTGGGAAAGTGGGATTGATGGGTATTGGCTTGTGAAGATTGATTCACACGTTACAGGAAAGACACAGCCACACTGTGTCTCCACAGTGAATGCTGTTAATAAGTCAAGGATAGATGCACATCTGGAAACACAAGTAAAATTGTAATTAACTAAGGCTCATTAGTATGGTTGGGATCTGATTCTCAACTATGCTTTAGGAAATTTGTCATTTTAAAATGTTGCAGGTTATATGTTGATGGAATGCAGTTTGAAACAAACACACACTTGTGATCCTTATTCCTTTCAGGATTTTCTGATGTTTTAATCTTCCAAATACTGAAGGAGTTTCCATGTTGTACTCTTCATATACAAATGGAAGAAGCATCAGCACTGTCAACACAGTGCTTGCTGGGAAAATGGTGGAATCTTTTTGTGGGGTGTTAATGTTTCATAGGGTCAGCACTGTATGAATGAAACAGTGTTCCTTAGCACTTCATAAGTTACAAGTCCAGGTTTCCTTGACATTATCCCAAGAAGCTACTTACGTATGTTGCACTGGTGGAATTTTGTGCTAATGCACATATGCACTTAAAAATGCTCTTTGTCTAAATAATAAAACTGTAGTTACTATTTCTATTACTTCTTACTGTTTTTGCAACCTCAGTCACAAACAGCAAACCCTTGTCCCACCATAAACCTTGTCCCACAGGAAAACATAGAAGAACGTAAAGGTTGCTACTACGAAAGTTGTATGATTTAACAACAGCTGCTAGAAATTTTGCCACACGCAAAAATGACTGTAGTTAATTTATTTCTCTTTCAGGTATATAGAAAGGATAACGATTGACAGAACTATGGTATTCACAATGGCATGGGGTCTTTTAGTCCTTGGTGTTCTGCTGCCTTCTTCTTATGCCCATACAGATTTCTTCACTTCCATTGGTAAGCAAATTTTTGTGTGTGCAATGGTCAAGTACTTCTGAGGATGGTTTGTTGAACTGCATTGTTCATACAAAGCTAAAATATGACTATGAACCCTTGAAATCGAATAAGTCGCAAAATAACCAGCAGTTTACAACAGTAAAAAGTAGGTAAGCAGCAATAAAAAGGTACTACATACAATTAAACCATTGCTGTTTTTTTAAAAAAGCAGTGGTACTAGCAGCTTAAGTGAATAATGTGTATATTTGATTTATAAATGGAGGATTCATAGCTGGGGTATGCACTCAGTATATACTGAGCAGAATAAATACAGAGCAGAGATCTGTATTTGGCTACCAAAATAGCCACGCCCAAATAAAAGCCAATATTATTTGGCTTTTGTTCAGTGCAGCTAAATGTGTTCCGTTTACTGGCTAGTCAGGCTACCATAGCGGTACAACTTAGTGAGGTAACTGAACTCATTTGAACTTTAATTGCCTTCAGTTCGACTCAGCAAGTGAAATTCATGGAGCTGAAGATATTTGAGTTTCCTGAATATTTACCCGAATACCAGCACAGTACTGATATTGGTATTCAGGAATATTTGGGAATAACAGTATTTTTTTTGTCCAATAGACCCAAATTGATAAAAAACTTATTTTTTTTGGCACACCCCTATTCTTAGTGCATGTGATCTGTCATGTAGTGTCACTTTTGAATGATTGGATGAGTAGTTGTGTCATTCTGAGATGCATAAGATGAATGTGCATCTAGCCTGCCTTGTAAGTATAAAAAACCTTTGGTAGGCTGCATGTGCATCTTAAAAGCTCTCTCAGCCCCAACCTGTTGTGGGGAGAGGAAGGGAAGGAGATTGTAAGCTGCTCTGAGACTCCAGGTGAAGGGTGGGGTATAATTCCAGTTCCTCTTCTATTAGACAATTCACCCAGTACATATGATTCACCTAGTATACGCAGGGGATACTGGGAATTAAGATTGCTGGGAAAAAGATCAACAACCTCAGATATGCAGATGATACCACTCTAATGGCAGAAAATGAAGAGGACCTTAAGAGCCTCTTGCTCAGGGTAAAAGAGGAGAGCGCAAAAGTGGGCTTGAAGGTCAACATCAAAAAAACTAAGATCATGGCATCTGGCCCCATCACTCCTTGGCAAATAGAAGGGGAAGTCATGGAAGTAGTGACAGACTTCACGTTCCTGGGATCCCAGATCACCACAGACTGTGACAGCAGCCAAAAGACGCCTGCTCCTTGGGAGGAAAGCGATGGCGAACCTAAACAGCATGATAAAAAGTAGAGACATCACCCTGCCAACAAAAGTCCGCATGGTCAAAGCAATGGTATTCCCAGTAGTCATGTATGGCTGCGAGAGTTGGACTATAAGGAAGGCCGAGCGCCGAAGAATAGATTCTTTTGAACTATGGTGCTGGAGAAGACTCTTGAGAGTCCCTTGGACTGCAAGAAGATCAAATCAGTCAATCCTAAAAGAAATCAACCCTGACTGTTCCCTGGAAGGCCAGATAATGAAACAAGCTCAAATACTTTGGCCACCAAATGAGAAGGGAGCACTCACTGGAGAAGACTCTGATGCTGGGAAAGATTGAAGGTCAAAGAAGACGGGGACGGCAAAGGATGAGATGGTTAGACAGTGTCATAGATGCAGCGTACATGAAGTTGAGCAAACTTCAGAGGATGGCGGAAGACCGGAAGGCCTGGCGTGATCTGGTCCATGGGGTCGCGAAGAGTCGGACTCAACTTTGCGACTGAACAACAACTGGGACATAGAGTCACTCATGCTATGTATGGTCTGTGCAGAGAACTTAATTCCCAGGTGTGTTGGAACCCAGTTACGATTTAGATCACAGTGCAGAAGGACAAGGAGCTTCAGCCTCCCACACTTGCCATTTTCCTGACCTGAAATGGCCCCAAGGATCCACTTTTTGCCTTGTTGGGAGAAACTTACCTGAAGCCATCAGTATATGTAACTTTTCCCAACTGAAAAAAAAAATAGTAATTGCTGCTTAGAATGGAAGAAGGCTTCTCATCCACCATGGTCTTGACCCAAATCCAACCCATGTACACCTGAGAAATTAAGTCCAGAACATAGCATATAGCATGTCCATGTTTCCCTGCATGAAGTTATGACACAGGAATTGGCCCTAAGTTGCAAGCTGGTTGAATGATTATTCTGAAAAGCTGCTACTATGAAGCTCTTCTTTTGCTCTTCATGCAAATAGCTAACTGCAGGGTTGCTCCAGCAGTACAAGAGTTAAGCCAGGCCTATAGCCAGGATTTTTGAATTTGGGTGGCTTTTAAATAAGTTGGCAGACACTGAAATAGAAATAAAAATAAAATGTAAAAAACCTGGCCCCTGCACCAGCAGGTCTTCCACTCTCGCAGCAACAGGGCGAGAGTGGCAGGCGAGCAAGTGCCCTGGAAGCTGAGCTGCCCTCTGCTGGCCCTCCGGCTGGGCACCCAGGCGCAGGAGGAGAGGAAGATTTCTCATCCACCATGGTCTTGACCCAAATCCAACCCATGTACACCTGAGAAATTAAGTCCAGAACATGGACCACTCAGGACGCCCCGCCCTGATCTGCCAGCCTCAACCATGCTGCACACCTCCCTGGCCCCACTGGCCTCTGCAGGTGGCTCGCTTTAGCTTCTTGCTGCCAGACATGCCGAGTGCCAGGGCCACTTTTTCAGTCGGCCGTGTAACGTGAGTGCAACTGAGTGGTGGGGGAAGAAGGGTAGGCTCTGCTTGTGCTAGTTTGCAGGCACACACGTTGCTGTCTGCTGCCGCCACCCAGCACAGCGGCGAAACCCTGGTGCGCATCTCAACCTCTCTAGAGCCACCTGCAGTTCATTCCCAGCCCCTCCCCCCCAACTGCCAGTCCAGGATGGAGCCTGTGGGGCTGTTGGCAGGCGGGGAAGGGGAGGGGCAGCGGGGAGTCCTCTGAGTAGCCCAGAGAGTCAGGGGGCTGGGCTGCATAGGAAGTCGTGGGGTCTTGGCAGGAAGTCGGGGCCCAGTAGGCCCCTCTGTAGCTATGGGCCTGAGTTAAGCTGGCACTATTGGGTTAAATGTAAAAAAATTATCATTTGCCCTCGAACCACAGAAGCTTTACGCAGTATCCTTGATCCTCCACATTTCCCAGTTAAGGGGAAAATGCTGTTCCGACAAATTACAGAGATGATCTGACTCCAATGGTAATAAGAGAAAGAAATCTTACTTACAAAAATAGAAGCACATCTTTCATGTCGTATTCATGTAGGTACATTTAACATGTTGTGAACAGATTAATTTCAAAAAGGATAACTTGCTACAGCTCCAAGCCCAGAGAAGAGAGAGAAGAAGAAAGGCCCTATATAAGACAAAAAAACAGAAGACAAGCAAGGGCCAAAGAGGCTCAACAACCAGTGAAAGGGTGGGGCCGACTGCCAAATGTACCTGAGTGAGAGAATTCTCTTAACCCTTTCCCTCCCAGATCCTCTTGCATGCAGAGTTACAGTATCCAACAGATACAGGGTAAAACTTCAAAAGATAGAGTTAGAAATAAAGGGAAAGAAGTTGCGCCTTTCATGCAGTATTTTTGTGTGATAACCAATAAATGGAGTATGACAGATGTCTATAGTTGCAGCAGTTTAGTGGGTCTTTCTTCAAGGCTATGTGAAACTAATAAGTGCTTATGATAGCAGTATTTCAGTTACATGTTTTATTTTGTGGTGGAATGGTTATAGCTTGCTGCGTAATCGGCAGAGAGCTTTAGACCTAAGGCACAAAAAGAACTTGGACATTAATGGGGGGTGGGGAGTAGAGAAACATCTTTCCCTGAGGACAGAAGAAGTGAGAATATTTCATGCCTAGTGGCCAACAATACATTCTAAACTGCTTTTTCATTGGCAGCTTATACAATCTGTGTACTGTAGGAGACCAAGTGAGGTTCTGGGGAAGGGAATTCTTGAGGACCATAGGCACATGCAGAACTATAATTAAGGACCAAACTGCACCTTGTGATTCGTAATATGGAGTGTCTGGGTTAACTGGCCTTTAACTCAGATTGTCATATGTCAGGTGTGAGGGAACTTCTTCTCCAGGAGCTCAGGGCCCCAATATATGTGGAGACTGCAGTGCAGCTCCATTTGCCCAACTGTGGAGTTACATGTATAGTGATAAGCTATTCATGCATTGCCCCAGTAGGGTCGATAGCAGCCCTGCGGAGCCATGTGGGATCCGAAGAAAAGCATGGGGAGAAAACTGAAGCCCTTTCGGAAGCCCCTGTGTTGTGGTCCCAGTTCAGATAGGGACCCCGGGTGCTTGGGAAACAAGTTCCCTCACCACCTGCCACGTGATTCTTAGAGTCAAAGTCAGGTCAGGATAACCTAGACTCTACACCTTACAAATTATGCAGTTTGGCCCAGTATCTTGCTGTGCTATGTAAGAGATGCCAAGAAGTGCATTAATGCAGGGCAATCCAAACCTACAGGGATAGTATGCAAGGGCAATGAACTCTAAGCAAATAAATATAAAATGATTTTACAGTATTTGCAAGGCATCCATTGAAGTCAAATTGAGTGCTGTCTTACAATTTACATTCAACTTCACAGTGGTAATTGTTGGGGGGGAGCAGTATTGAAGTTGGAAAACATGTCCTTTCTACAAGGTAAAATGACTAAGGTTGGGTTTCTCCCCGTTATGAAAATTTGAAGCCCAGCACTTTTTTACTTTTTCATCAACACTAGACAGTACAAAGAAAAGGCAAAATAGTTCAAAAGAGAAAACCTAGAGCCAGGGGCATGAGGAGTCATGAAGTGTTCTCGTAATAGTTGTAGACATAATGTTCTTTATCTTTTAGGTCACATGACAGACTTGATTAATACAGAAAAAGACCTGGTGACATCATTGAAAGACTACATCAAAGCAGAAGAAAGCAAGCTGGAGCAGATTAAGAAGTACGTCATGGCTTCAGTATTAGTATTTTATCATGATTCTGTGTGCATAATATTTGTTGTTAAGTCAGACAATGTTTGGCTTTTATGGGAACAAGAGTAAATTTGCCATTACTGCAAGATGTTGGCTGTAAATAGTTCAGCTGAGTATGCCTTGCGGTTAAGAAAAAGCTGAGTGTATGACTTCCCAAATCTTAGTTCCTCTTAAGAGGGGAAACTATTACAACCTGATAGGAGGTAACTTTAAAAAAATCTCTACAATGTATTTATTGTTTTACATTACAAAATAACACAATTTCGAGAGAATTTTGAGATGAATTATTTGAATTGGGTCTGATTTAAATTTTAGCTGCCTTCAACCTTGAAGACATGAAGCTGCATGATACTGAATCAGCCTGTTGGTCCCTCATGTTCAATATTGTCTACTCAGACTGGTAGTGGCTCTCTGGGGTCTCAGGTAAAAGCTTTTAGCGTTACCTACCGCCTGGTCCTTTTACCTGGAGATGCCAGGGATTGAACCTAGCACCTTCTGCAGGCCAAGCAGATGCTGTGGCGCTGAGCCACAGTCCCTCTCTAATCTTGTGCACCATCAGTGGACCAGAATTTGCGAAATGGAACTTTTCCACCTCCCCCTTTCCACTGTAGCTTCCTGTGCATCCTGAAATGCACTTGGGGGGGGGGTTAAGGAGCAGTGTGGGGTTCAACATGGCAGTCTGAAGTGGAAAGGGAAAGTGGTGACAATATTACTGAGACACAAGTGCTGCTTTTGTGAGTGGAATAAGGTTTTGTATCCAGCCTTTTAAATTTAATAAATTTCTTTGTGTTAATTCTTGTGCTGCATAAGTATCTCAAAGTTGTTTCTAATAGTTGAACTGAAATATAAATATTTGATTAGTATACATCAGTAGAATTTTTCTTTCAGCAGTCCAGATTTGACTGCTAGTACATTAATCATGTTACAAAAGTATATGCCTGTATAAAAATGCAGCAGTAGAAATGAAGACTTTCCACGGGAAAAGTTTCTGCTTCACGTTGCCTCAGGTTATCACATGGCGATTAAAAATGTCTCTGTGTGAATGAGCCCCCTGAATGGTTTATTGAAAATATTTAGGTCACAGTGTATTTCTCTAGGTGGGCAGAGAAGCTAGATAAGCTGACAGACACTGCAACCAAGGACCCTGAGGGATTCTTGGGACATCCAGTGAATGCGTTCAAGTTAATGAAGCGACTTAATACTGAGTGGAGTGAGCTGGAGAATTTGGTCCTGAAGGATATGTCTGATGGTAAGTGCTTTGAAAGTCTCGATAGTCTAAAAGACCAGGTTGGCTAATCAGCAGTACTATGATGCAGTGGATAATCCAATGATTTGTGAAGGCTCTGTTCCCTCATCAGTCGCAAGTTTTAAGTTTCTTGACATTGTGCTAGGGAAGCTTGACAACTCAGAAATATTTCAAATTATGGTGGCAGTACTATTGATCATGATGCAGTATGTCTAGAAATCTTGATTAGGTCCTCCTAGCTGCATGATTGTCTATGAGAAACTGAACTATACTTCTGCATTGTATGTAGGAGGAGATACAAACCAAAAATCCAGGTGAAAACAGAGGTAAATAAGGGAAATTTGTCTAATGGAGGTCACTATTGCGACACAAAAATATATGCTAATCTTTATGCCAGTAGCGCCTGAAAGGTGCTATGAGCTGTCTTGCCTCGATATGCAAATTATGCATGTGATGCACTCCTCGGTTGTATTTTATTAAACCTGAGCGCTATTCAGCTTCAAAAGGGATGAGAGATATAAAGTATGATTCCCAGTACTTTACAGTTATACTTTCCTACTTTGCTGTGATTGCAAAATGGGTAGGGCTCAATATAAGACAGGATGGAGACAGTGGCAATTGGCTGGGACCCAGGTGGATGAATTGGGAAGAGCGGGGTAAAGAAGGGTACACAGCTATTGGTGTTCTTGTTATACTGCTAGTTTCTGAAAGCTATATATTAAATAGTAGGGCAGTGCAAGTCTGTGTATGTGTTTCAATTAATCTGTATTAGGAATATTTGCTTAAAGCCAAATCTGTCTTGGAAATTTAAGTCCCTTTCACATTCTATCTTTGTCTTCAGGGTTTATTTCCAACATGACCATTCAACGCCAGTATTTCCCTAATGATGAAGATCAGACTGGTGCTGCCAAAGCTCTTTTACGGCTCCAAGATACATATAATTTAGACACAGATACACTCTCAAAGGGAAATCTTCCAGGTAAATTGATCCTGGGAAACAAATGTAAAAGAAAAGCATTTGACATACCTTGAACAACACATTCTGTTTCTTCGTTAATGTTTCTGTTTGTCTCTCTCTTGTAATGCAAAAGTACTTACCCGATGAAGGATCTGACACTATGTTCTTTGTTCAGGCCTCGTTGTTGTAGTGGTGCAATCGCTAACATGTAAAGTGGTATGAAATAGAACATACTGTTGGGGCCTTTACATATGATTAGCTTATAGTGCATAAATGTGTGCTTTTGGTTATGTTTGTGTGAATGGGAATATTTTTCAAGGACATTTTCCTTTTGTGGGGATAATATTTCATTTTCCCATTCCTTCACCTCTCCCCTTTTTTGAGAAAAGGTGGGGGTTGTGGGCTTATTGTAAGAAGGATGCTGTTTGGGATGTGGCTATGAGTACATCAGGAACTCTGTTGGATGGCACATATAACATCACTGCTGGATAATACTTCTTTTCACCTCTACCAAGCCCACATACTGTGTCAATAGATTCTTTCTCACTGCAATTTATTAATTAAAATGTTTATATCCTACCTTTCCTTGTGGCTCAAGACAACTTATAAGTCATAGTTAAAACAATACGTTAAAACAATAGCATAAAACTTCAGATACCATCCCCACCATTCAAAAGATTCCTGCAGTATATACCCCCGTTAAAAGCTGTGACAAATAAAATGGACTTGCAGCACCTCATGAAGATTTCTTATAACTACACTCCCCTCAGCTCCTCAGGGATCCCCTTCCCCAGTGAGAACTACAGTGGAAGCTAAAAGGAGAAGAAAACAGGATTGTAGCTCCAGAACCCACTCTGGGTTTGTACATGTTCAGTAAAACTTGCTAAAAGAACCTGTGCATGTGTACTCTTGTGTGCATGAGTTCAGGGTGTGCAATAGGTGCTGCGCAAAAAGCAGAGTCCCTGGTTGCAGAGACAAGCCAGCAGGTTTCCTGCATGTGCTCTGCTCTCCAGGTCTGTTGAGTATATGTAGTTGGGAGTGGTGGTGCCTTTTCTCCACATGAGAGTTCATTATCTCTGCTTTTGCAATGTGTAAAGGGCTCTTGTCAGGGCTCAGATTGCGAAACAGGCATTTCATGTGGCCTGAAGTTGATAAGGACTTTCTTCATGGTTGCTGAGACTATTAAAGTTCAGTTCCCTTTGATTTCCTTTGCATACTGCATGCTTTTGAGTGGTAGAATCCATCACCTGGCATTTTTTTAAAGAAGCTGTGTATTTAAATGGCAATGACCCAAATGAATTTATAGTACAGGTGAAAATGCAGCAGGGTACACTTTTTGAAATGATCATCTAGATCTGTCATATGAATTTATAGTACAGGTGAAAATGCAGCAGGGTACACTTTTTGAAATGATCATCTAGATCTGTTCTTATGTTGTAACCCACTAGGGCTGCCAAATCCCCCCAGGGGGCGGATTTCCCCCCGCTTTGGAGGCCCGATTTCCGCCCCCGCGGAATCGGGCCCCGGGGGAAACCCCACCCCCGCGTGCACGTCACCCGGATGTGACGTCGCACACTGGGGGCGGGGCCGCAGCCATTTGAGGGGAAAACTCTATGTTTTCCCCTCAAATGGCTGTGGCCCTGCCCCCAGCATGCCCGGCGTCATGACGTCACATCTGGGTGACGTAAACGTGGCGCGCGCACCGGGAGCTGCCCAGGAGTCCCCTGCCAAGGAGGTGAGTGCCATTTGGCAACCCTATAACCCACCCATCTCCAGACATCTTTATAAGCATATCTTTTCCCATCAACATTGTAAAATGGCACTGCAAATTCTTGTAAGTTTGGAATTTTGCTATCTCCAGGGTCCTGTTTGTAATGTTTCTGCTGTTGCAGAAAAAAATTAGGTAGCTTAACTATGTATAATTTTGACAGCAATCCTAAACAGAGCTACTCAGAATCCTGTGTGAGTCTGCTCGGTGGGGCTTATTCCTGGGACATGATTGTACTGTTTGTTTGTCAGCAATAGAATGCATAGAAACTTTAAACAGAAAACTGAGGTCATTCAGGTTTAGAAGGAAACTTCGGTGCAAACATACAACATCAAAATGTCAGGCTTTATGGAAAGACTAATAGTTCTTATTTGCTTCTTGTTCCCAGGAGTGAAGCATAAGACCTTTTTAACACCTGAAGATTGCTTTGAATTGGGCAAGATTGCATACACTGAATCAGACTACTACCACACAGAACTTTGGATGCAGCAAGCTCTGAAACAACTGGATGATGGAGAGGTTTCTTCTATTGACAGAGTCTCTGTGCTAGACTACTTAAGTTATGCTGTGTACCAGCAGGGGGACTTGGACAAAGCCATGACGCTGACTAAGCGGCTGCTTGAGCTGGGTAGGTGGAAGAACATAACGCATCTCCAGTGTGTCGTAATATTGTTTTTGCCAAAACCTTTTCCTTATCTCGGTAAATCTTTGACATTAAGTAACTCTGATCTTGTTGGTTTTTGTGACGACCCCTTATTTGGGGAGGTCTGGTTTCCCTTTAAAAGTGTTCTTTATGTTTTGCTCTCAGGGTAATCTGGCCGCCACCAGGAAAATTTAAGGCTTTCCACACCTTTATACTAATATATTTCTTCTTCTGGTTTGGTATTGTGACCCAGGGTCTGGGCTTTCGAAGGACTATGTATTTCCTGGGAAGAATTTCGTTCAGAACTTGTATCTTAAATAAAAGTAGATTTATTTGATGTTCACACACTCTTCCCTCTTACTGACAGGGATCAGGGCATGTCACTTTGTAACAATATTTTCCTTAGGCCATATATGGTTACTGTTTCTTTATGCTTTAACTTTTCATAACACACACAAGACTTCTCTCTCTCAGACCTTAAAACGAACAAACTGCTTAACTCTTTTACTACACAGAACCAAATCGTTCCCTCACAGGGATGAGTCTCCTTCAACTCAGAGACAGAACTTAAATGACTAACTAACTGTCTTCATCAACTGTCATCCCTAACAGACACACCAGATAGACATTCCAATCATCCACACAGCATCCATTCCAAAACCCCTCCTCCTCTCTGTCACTCACCAATCATACCACTTGCCTGCTTCCAACACTCTAGAATATCACAGCCATGCAAACTAAACTTTTAAAGACACACACACACATAAACATGAAATCGTTACAGTTTTATTCAAATAAAACTGCAAATAATAATGGCTTGGATTCTTTTGTTCGTGGTAGGCACTTCAGATTGCAGGGTGGGGGACAGGTGATTTTTGCCCATTCCTTCCTCTTACTACAGGACCACCACCACCCCCATTTTAAACCTCATGATATTCCAAGTTGATCCAGTGACTCACAGGGGCACAATTTCGGGAGCGCACAAGACTGCAGCAGAAAAGGGAGGCGGCGGGAATGTTAACATTTATACAGCTCGGTTCTGTTTGCCATTGTTGTGAATCTTCCTTTTGTATATTACATTGTTTTTCAGGCAAGTCTTCTTCCTTAAGTTTTTGTGTATACAGTTACAGTGGCATCCTGTATGAGGCAAGCAAGATGGAAATAATCCAGCTGGGTCACAATTCTTTGTATAAACTCTCTGTTACCGGTGGGACTGGTCATGTGATCGGCCATTGGAGTAAGGCCTCATTGGCCGTGGACGGTGCTCTTGTGTTGCATCTGGGCGAGGTACAGCATTGATGTCAAGCAGCTGGAGTCCCAGGAATGGACTTCAGTGTTTGAGGGCGAGGCCTCATCTCACACCAAGGCTCAGCACAAATTTAGACTAGATTGATTTAGTGTTGGGTGGAGATGCACATAGATAAATCCCCACCCCACCCCCGATTCAGAATGAGTCTGCTCAGTTAGAATAATTTCACCAAGTGCTTTTGGCCATCCGAAAGGTAATCCAGTTTTTAATCGGATTCATTCCAATTCAGGAGGTTTCTGGGACCTGATATGCTCCCATTAACATTATTAGGAACACGAGAGGGCCACATGCCCATCTACAGTCTGCACTTGTTTCACCCACCTACCCCACAGCTTACCAAGGCGCAATATGTGATGGGGTGGAAGGTTCCTTGAAACTAGCAGCATCCAGAGCCAGAGTCCTACTGTATTGTGTCCTGGAAGCCCTTCCTGCCACTCCCACCGTGCTGCCTTGGTAAGATTCGGGAGGGGGGGCAGTGGGGAGGGCTGCCAAGAATCCTTGCAGGCCAAAATGTTATCAGGTTGAGCCCGGCCTCAACACTGGAGGGACCTGTGATCAGACACTGATGGGAGGGGGTGACTTACCAGCTCTTCCTTTCTTATTCTGTCCTGCTGTTACTTTTGGTGTCATCTTCTTCCATTCTATTTTGCAGTTCTATTAAAAATTAAGCTATTGCCTTTTACTAAAATAACTCTGATATATTCATTTTTTAAAACAAAAACTATCTGTTGAGTGACACATCTGTTCCATTTTGTTTTTGCATCACCATTTGATCTTCTTCGTGGTCTCTGTGCTTCACACCAATGGGATCTAGTGCGCCTGCGCTGGATCTGCCGGTGCCTAGCAAGCTCTCTTAAAAGGATTTTCGTGCCTGGCCCAACTGAGCATGCTCAGGAGCCCCAGTGAGCATGCCCAGAAGGGCAGGCACGGACATCCCGCCAGTTCTTTCCTTTCCGCCGCGCTGAGCAGACCTTTCTTCGAGAGGTCTGGCCGGATCGCTGCTTTTGGATCACTTTTTAGTGACTAGCTCTCGTTTTTCGCCTCAGTTTTTGTTCAGTTTCTCTTTCTTTTTCTGTGTTTAAAAAAAAGGAGACTTTTTATTTTTCGTCGTCTGAGGTAAAATTACCTCAGGCCTTCGGGCCGCTGGCCCCCCCCCCTTGTCGCTGTCTTCTTCTCCTCAGTCTATGGGGAAGAAGACGAAAAAAATCGAAGAAGTGGGGA